TATTCTACTACATGTCTTCGGTAAAAATAAATCCTAGTTCTTTTGAAGTTGTCAGTTTTGGTCACAATTTTTTGGGAAAATAAAGAAATTAAATAAATATTTTTTCACTTTTTTTCTACAAACTCACCAGCGCAGTACAGCGTCATCACATGACTGGTGTGGTGACGGTGATCAGGGACCCTGACTGGTGACAGTATGATAAAAAAAGCAGAATTAAAAAAAACTATAAATTAACATTTTTATTAAACATTTCTTTTTCCCCATCAGAGTAGTGTCCATAGCAGCACTGTACTACTCTAGGGGGGGATCAGGGATTCTCTTTACAATGATGATCACCGTGTCAGCTCAATGCTTTATACAGAGTTTCATTCATGACAGCTGTGATTACTAGTGATCTGTGATTGGCTACCACTACATCACATAGTAGAGGGTGCTGTGATTGGACCAGGTACCATGTGATAGCTGTGGGCCAATCACAGCTCACTAGTATCAGAATGAGATTCATTGATACCATGTTTGGTGACATTGTGTTCCTGATATTAGTACAATGCTGTATCCAGGGTACACTTCAGTACAGAATCATTATCATCGGATTATTATACAGGATTTATAGAGTGACAACAATCTGCGCACAGCGCTTTACAACATGATGGAAGACAGTACAGCTACAATACAATTTGGTACAGGAGGAATCAGGGGGCCGGCTTGTGAGAGATTACAATCTAAGAGGGAGGGTGAAGTGATACAAAGGTCATAACTGGGCAATGGGCCGATGGAGGAACTAAAACACAGTGTGTTCGTTAGAAGCAGGAGAGGCTTCTTTACAGAGAAGGATTTCAGGGATCCTCTAAAGGTGGAGATAGTTGGACAGAATGGGGTAGGGAGTACCATAAGATGGCAGAATCTCAGGAGACGTCCTGGAGGTGAGCATGGGAGGCGGTGAAAAGGAATCCAGAGAGCGGGAGGTCTTGAGATGACTGAAGAGAGCGGTTTGGTTGGTATTTTGAGTCCTGGTTGGTGATGCAGCTGGGGGCAGAGTTGTGGATGGTCTTCTTTGTTGTTAGTATTTGGAATTTGATTAGTTTGGTGAGCGGAAGCCAATGGAGGGATTGGTAGAGAGGGGTGGAGGCCAGTGGAGGGATTGGTAGAGAGGGGTGGAGGCCGGTGGAGGGATTGGTAGAGAGGGGTAGAGGCCAGTGGAGGGATTAGAAGAGAGGGGTGGAGGCCAGTGGAGGGATTGGTAGAGAGGGGTGGAGGCCAGTGGAGGGATTGGAAGAGAGAAGTGAAGGGATCAGCAGAGAAGGGTGGAGGGATTGGAAGAGAGGGGTGGAGGCCAGTGGAGGGATTGGTAGAGAGGGGTGGAGGCCAGTGGAGGGATTGGTAGAGAGGGGTGGAGGCCAGTGGAGGGATTGGTAGAGAGGGGTGGAGGCCAGTGGAGGGATTGGTAGAGAGGGGTGGAGGCCAGTGGAGGGATTGGAAGAGAGGGGCGGAGGCCAGTGGAGGGATTGGAAGAGAGGGATGGAGGCCAGTGGAGGGATTAGAAGAGAGGGGTGGAGGCCAGTGGAGGGATTGGTAGAGAGGGGTGGAGGCCAGTGGAGGGATTGGAAGAGAGAGGTGAAGGGATCAGCAGAGAAGGGTGGAGGGATTGGAAGAGAGGGGTGGAGGCCAGTGGAGGGATCGGCAGAGAGGGGTGGAGGGATCGGCAGAGAGGGGTAGTAGACACTGAGCTGTTGGTAAGGTGGGTAAGTCTGGCAGTGTCAGGAGTGAGTAGCACTCCTGCTCCTCATTCCAGCATCCTGGTTTTGGCTGTGATGCATTCTCCCTTTCTGTCTGTCCATCTGCAAGGTGATTGATGTAGCCAGACCAAACCTGACTTAAGCCAGCCAAGCCTGCAGTCTCATGCTTGTGATAGCACTGGTTGCATGTACTTAAGCTGCCTGTTTGTCTGTCTTGCTCTGCAGTTTGGATTCCCTTGTTGACAACCTCAGATTGGATATCGGACAACTCTGAACTCTGCATCTTTGACTATGGATTTTACCTTGAGTATTCTGAACCTTGCCTGCTCGTACCTGGTCTGTCCTTGAACCACTCTGCTTGTCTGCCAACTGCAACTACAGTACCTGTTGGTTTTTACAGTTTGCACCTGGCCTGGACTTGTGGCCAGGCACTATAGTATTGTGTGTAAGTCCTGGGGGAAACTGAGAAGCGGTAGGTCTGCTTGCCTTATGTGAAGAACACAGAAGCCATCTATAGTGTGTGACCACCTGTGTTAGGGGTAAGTGTGACATTATCACAAGTCTTTAACAAGAACATGTTTCTGTGAAGATGGACTCTACACAGCCTCGTGTATTTGATGAGATTAACAAACGGACACATCAAGCCCAGACCTGTCTGTGTGTAAACGCACCCCCAGCAGTACCTCAGGAACCAGAGCCCAAGGTTAACCCCCCTGACCATTTTTCTGGTGATCCCCATGTTTTCCAACTTTTAAAACAGTTGTATGCTATATTTTATCCTCTGGGGAAAAGGCTAGAAGATCCAGGGACTTATACTGTGGGGACCACGGCCCCAACAAGCTGGGAAATGCCAAGAGTCTAGTGCATGTCTGGACTGCTTCTCTTGATTATACGGTCCCAGGTTCCCCCTGAGAAAACTATTTGTTCCTGCACAACTTAGTTCGACACATTTTCTCATCACCTCTCAGCTTTTGTAGATTCTGGTGCCGTTAGCAATTTCATGAGATGGGGACCTAACATGCCATCTACAGATTCCCTTGACTAATGTGCAAAAACCCTTTTCAGTCTTAACTGTTGATACCTCTCCCTTGTCCATGGGCCGGGTCACCTTGTGCCCTGTACCTATTACTCTGACCATTGGGGAATGTCATAGGGAGACAATCAGCTTCTACCTGATAACATCTCCTTATCTTAGGTTGTCCTTGGCTCAGACACTCCATAACCTGCACATACTGTACATTGGGCTACAGGGGATATTAGGTCCATGTCCCAGGCCTGCCTCCAGAATTGTAATAAAACTGCTGACCAGTTTCCCATTTGTAACTCTTTTGTGGCCAATACCAGTCACTTGCCTTTACAGTCCTATTCAGATCCTGATCATGACAACTTTTCAAGTGTGACTCCAGTTTACGTAACCGTTTGCCTTTGTATGACTCTGTTGTAGCAGAAGACACTGACAAGTTTATTGAATCCTCTACAGGTCATCTATTCAGCCAATTGCCAATGTCTGAATCTTTTCCTCCTAGAGACCAAACTCACCCACTGCCTCGCAGCCTTGAGCCTGGTTCAGAAATGTCCTCCAAGAATTATGTCTTACCCTCAGCACAAGTGATGAGGGCCATTTCCCCTGACCTTTTGGACTCTATTTTCTAGTTTTCTGAAGAACATGGCACTAAGATGGCGAAGCACTCAGGGATTACTGAAACATTTTCTTTGGTTTTTCATGGGACTTTAGTGGCTTTCTCGCCATAAGGACTCCTGTGCCTATGTAAAAGCTTGAAAAGCTGTGCTCACTCAGTCCTCAAAAGTCAAACCCTCTGGATTACCCTTACCTTTGCCTGTCCCTAAACACCCTTGGACACATATCCAGGCTGACTTGTCCTCAAGTTCTGCTGCCTCTACACCTGCTGATGTGGTCTAGTCTGTCTGTACACCGGCCAGTGTGGTCCAGTCTGCCTCTGCACCAGTTGTTCTGGTTCAGCCCAGGCCAATTGAGCCTCCTGCTCTTTGATTTTTGGGAATTTCAATAACCCTGCCTCACCCAACTGCAACTACATCTGCTCAAACCTGTCTAAGAAGTTCTATCCAGCCTTTGGATAAACTGCCTCATTCAGCCATGTGGGGCCCACAACCTTCTCTTCAGGCCACTCTGCATCCAGCCTGCGGTCCAGCTTGACTTCAGTACCATGTCACCTGCTATCACAGGTTCTTTATGTGCAGTTTGGCACCATAAACTCTCTGCCTGCTAACCAACCTGACTTTGCTGATCCCCTGACCATTGCCCAGCATCCTTTGCTGGAAGCCCAGCTTGATGGTCCTTTGTCATATGCCCAGCCTGATGGTCCTGTGCCAGATGCCGAGCATGCATTTAAGGGTCCGTGGGTTATTCCTCAGAGGGGGCTAATGTCAGGAGTGTACTCCTTCTGATAAATCACAGCTGATGGTCTCATTACAGCATCCTGGTTTTAGCTATGATGCAGCCAGTCTCTGGGTGCAGACCAAACCTGATTTAAGCCAGCCAAACCTGCAGTCTCATGCTTGTGATAGCGTGTGTAATACGTGTTCAAGCTCCCTGTCAGTCTGTCCTGCTCTGCTGTTTGGATTCCTCTGTTTATGACCTTGGATCAGATATCAATTACTCTCTGAACTCTGCCTGTCTTTGGGCTAGGGATTGGACCCTGATTACTCTGAATATTGCCTGCCTTATCAATCAAATGTTGCCAAACACAACAGTGCTCAAATCTTGGTGCTTCACAATTCCACACGGTATCTGTCACTTGATGAGGTGCAGCCCTCCACAGATGGGGGAATCTGGGAACTGACAAAGACAACACACAAGAGGGTGCATTACCGTAATATCAAATTTATTAAAAGATAGATCACAAATGGAATCTCACAAGCTGACCATAAAAACAGACAGAGAGCCAGATCTTCAGTCCCAGACAATGGAATCTCCCACCACAAAATGTACTCAGCCAATGACAGGGCAGGACTCCATTTTTATTCTGCTCATGCTATCACTGGCCAACCCGGTCCCACACTTCATCCATGTCTTTGGGGACCTCTGATCTCCTTATGAACTATTTCTTCCATGATGAAGATCAGCCATGGAGTATATCTGAGGTGTATATCAGGTGTGTGCTTCTTCCCCACATGAGAGCTGGGATGTCCAGCAACATTCATCTAGAAGACATTTCCCGCACTCAAGGCACTAATACACCTCCAGGGTTGTGTGGGACCCCTGATGTACAGGAAGACAGGACTTCAGTGAGGAACATTTCCCTCACTCAGGACAGGAAAGTGGCTTCTCCCCGTGTGATCTCTGATGTTGATCTCTGATGTCTCAGGAAAGATACGGCTTCTCCCCCGTGTGGACTTCTGTGAAAAACATTTCCCACACTCAGGACAGGAATATGGCTTTCTCCCCTGTGTGAGATCTCTGATGTTTGTAAAGATTGGACTTCTCTGAAAAAAACATTTCCCCGCACTCAGGACAGGAATACGGCTTCTCCCCCTGTGTGAGATCTCTGATGTGTTGTAAAGACTGGACTTGTCTGAAAAACATTTCCCACACTCAGGACAGGAATACGGCTTCTCCCCTGTGTGAGATCTCTGATGTGTGTAAAGATGGACTTCTCTGAAAAAACATTTCCCACACTCAGGACAGGAATGGCTTCTCCCCTGTGTGAGATCTCTGATGTGTGTGAGATGGACTTTCATTTGACTGTGTGACAAAGATGAGGACTTCTTTGAAAAACATTTCCCGCACTCAGACAGGAATATGGCTTCTCCCCTGTGTGTGAGATCTCTGATGTGTGTAAGACTGGACTTCACTGAAAAACATTTCCCGCACTCAGGACAGGAAATATGGCTTCCCCCGTGTGAGATCTTTTATGCACATTAAGATGGATTTATGTAGACGGAAACCTCTTCCCGCACTCAGTACAGGAGAAGCTCTTCCCTGTTGGAAGGCCGGCCCGGTCCCGCACAGTCTGAGGTTCCTCAGGATACGAGGAATCCGATGGTCCATCTACACTGGGTGGTGCCGGATGGACATTGGAGGGAGCCGGGTTTTCTCCTGGACTATACTGTGTGATGTCCTCATCTTCTACTTTCCAGTCTGGAGACAAAGTGAGACAATCCTCGGAGGTTTTCCTCATCTCCCGGCCATGGACTAAAATACAAAGACAAAGAGGATTACTAGACACAGGAGCTGATTGGTTCCCCCAAACCAGGACTCCGCCCACATCAGGCAGCTTGGTCTCTGAGGAGCTTACAATTCCACCCTCAAGGGAACTAGGAAATGGCTCCTCTGATCTCCTACCAGGTCATTTCTTTATTCATGGACCTTAGTCAGAGAGTGAGGAAACAACCAGAACTGTCTTTTATAGGAGGGACAGTGATGAGGGGATTATAGGACGAGGGTCCCCACCCCCTCTATCACTCATCGCCATCTCCCCAACACAAGAAGTACTGCACTTCCTTATTTAGTCCATGATTTAGTCATGAAGAACAGCGGGGCTGAGCCCCACCAGAGGTCAGAGAGTGAGGATGGGGGGAGAACAACCAAGATGAAGACTGGACTGATCCTGAAGACCACCATCATTGGGGTATTGACTCCTCCCTCATTATCACTTTCTGTTTAAGGGTCCAAAGTTGGAGGATGTTATCACATTATTATCACCATGTGTAAAAGTCTGTGCTCCAATCACATCATCCGATATAAAATGTCCAGCTGGGAGGAAATGGGGAACAAAAGAGAATCCATATTATGTGTATATATAGCAGGGGGGGGGGGGGAGAGCAGAAGTCAGGAGTATGTAATGTACAACAACATAGAGTGGGGTCAGGAGTATGTAATGTACAACATAGAGTATATAGTGCAGGGGTCAGGAGTATGTAATGTACAACATAGAGTATATAGTGCAGGGGCAGGGGTCAGGATGTAATGTACAACATAGAGTATATAGTGCAGGGGTCAGGAGTATGTAATGGAGTATATGTGCAGGGGTAATGTGTAATGTACAACATAGAGTATATAGTGCAGGGGTCAGGAGTAATGTACAACATAGAGTATATAGTGCAGGGGTCAGGAGTATGTAATGTACAACATAGAGTATATAGTGCAGGGGTCAGGAGTATGTAATGTACAACATAGAGTATATAGTGCAGGGGTCAGGAGTATGTAATGTACAACATAGATATAGTGCAGGGGTCAGGAGTATGTAATGTACAACATAAGAGTATATAGTGCAGGGGTCAGGAGGATCATAATGTACAACATAGATATAGTGCATCAGTAATCAGTGTATATAGTGCAGGGGTCAGGAGTAATGTTTACTGTAGACAAGTAAATTGGTATGCACTGTAGATCCCACACCGCTGCCTCCCATCTCCTGAGACTGCACTCAGTGACTTGGGTCTGAGACACTACAGACATATCCCTCCACCCGGCACAGCCAGCAGACCACAGAGCAAGGAACCCTGGGAGAATTGTTCTGTCAGAGATCTTACTAGACCCGGGCATGGGGAAGAAGACCCAAAGCACACATGTCCCAGGTGCCTAGGTCTAGTAAACATCTATGGTGAAAATCAACATTTTGCTGCCAGCTGAACCCCAGAACCTCCATAAATCCAGTCTAGATACATAAATTGTGTCTGCAGCACAGAGAAGGAAGATTATCCGAGAGAAATCCAGGAATACAGGACGGGGAACACAGCTCAGGAAAGTGACCAGGGGATTACAGGCTGATATCACCCAGTCCCCGCCCTACTCTGGACCAATCAGTGAGCAGTATGGGTGGAGGAATGGATTTAGTGTTCATGACCCACCTGTGCTGATCTCTGTAGGAGTGTCCTCCTCTATAAATGTCCCCGTTATTCCATCCTCCTCCATAGACTGCTGATCATCCCTCACATACGCCTCTTCTTCTTCTGCTTTCACCTCAAATTCTATATCGATTGGATCTCCACTCTAAATCAAGAAAATGAGAAAAAATCATCTAAAAAATCACATATCATCTGTCCATGTTCTAGATGCTCCATCCCACCAACCTTGTAATGTGAGGGATGGTGTGACCTTCCTGTGTGGAATCCCGGGAATACAGAGGACGGGGACATCTCTCTGGTGGGTCCACATAAAAAATCCATCACTCCACACATATACTCTTCTTTAACATCAATTTTATCATCCCCAGGATTCCATCTGAAATATATAATAAAAATGACATCATGTAACAAACATGCTGTGTATAAAATGCAATCCATCCCACCAACCTTGATGATGGTGAGGGATGGTGTGACCTTCCTGTGTGGAATCCCGGGAATACAGAGGACGGGGACATCTCTCTGGTGGGTTCCCATGACTGGATCCATCTGTAGGAAACACACACACTGACTGAATCCATTGTTTCTATGTGTTTATCAGATGATGGGGGATCTAGGTGGATCCTCCGTACTGCTCTCTCCTTTACAATAAAGTCTCCTCTTACCCGGTGATGTGAGGGGCGGCTGATTGTCCATCATGACGTCCTTGTAGAGATCCTTGTGTCCTTCTAAATACTCCCACTCCTCCATGGAGAAATAGACAGTGACACCCTGACACCTTATAGGAACCTGACACACACAATGATACAGTCACCATCCAGACACATCCCTTGTCTGTTACTGGAGAATGTCCCAGAATTCCCGGCACCGCTCACCTCTCCTGTCAGCAGCTCCATCATCTTCTTGGTGACTTCTAGAATCTTCTGCATGTTGTGTCTCTCAGGGTTTAGGGAGTCACATGGAGGCACTGTGATGGTCATATGATCACCTGACTTCAGAAGAGGAAATCTCTGTATTGAGGAACCAATAGGAATATCATGTTAGACTCCCAGAATCCTCCTCACCTCTCCGGTCAGGTCTGTGTTTTTATTAATAGAGATAAGAGTGATGTCATGTGACCTCCCAGAATCCTCCTCACCTCTCCGGTCAGGTCTGTGTTTTATTAATAGAGATAAGAGTGATGTCATGTGACCTCCCAGAATCCTCCTCACCTCTCGGTCAGGTCAGGTCTGTGTTTTATTAATAGAGATAAGAGTGATGTCATGTGAGGTCTCCGGTGTCTGTGTTTTATTAATAGAGATAAGAGTGATGTCATGTGACCTCCCAGAAGAATCCTCACCTCTCCGGTCAGCAGGTAGATGATCTCCAGGGTGAGGTTTAGTATCTTCTCAGTCATGTGACTCCGGTCCTCCTCCATCCTCATTGGTGCCATCATGTGATCTATACAGGTCTCCTTGTAGACGGATAACTTTGGGAAATGAAAGTAAGAATGATTTGGATGGTATTGGTCACACAATAATAGGATGTGGATGTGAGGGGGGAATAGGAGGGTTGCTGGACATTGAAGAACTACTCCCCCCATGGGAAGACATTTAGTTGGGACTGTTTAGTATTTGCTACATTTAGGAGGTCCCGGGACCCTCTTGTCCTGCCAGATCAGAAATCCCCTTTTCTCTGTTGGGTTTGTTTGGTCTCTGAACTGGTTTTGATGAGTTTTAGATCTGCAGACAAGGAATGATAAATACGATCCTTCCTATGACTTGTTTGCTCTGAGGCAGTGCTGAGCAGGAGGATGGTGCTGGTGTTAAGGACCGACTGGTGGTAGCCTCTAGCGACCCACAGGCCGGAATCCCTCAGGGTGCGGAATCTAAGCCCCAGTCTCCTGTTTCACCAGAGCCCCTGATGGTGGGGATGGACTTGAAGCAGCCTGAGACCAGGTCACGACCCCTGAGTTCAACCAGCTGTGGTAGAGGTGGATTTTCCAGTGGTAGGTACAAGTGAGAGCCAGATGTGAAGAGGTAGCGTATAACGTAGTCAGACAGGCCAGGTCGGTAACAGCAAAGGCAGATGGTACAGATCAGCAGGCAAAAGGATAAACGGGTCACAGGCCAGGTTCAGCAACAGGAGGTCAGGTAAACAGTAGAAAGCAGAAGAATGGTCAGACAAGCCAGGGATCAGGGCAGGAGAGAATCACGATAATCCGGGTCAGGCAGGTTCGACAAAAAAGGCAATCTCAGGTACTAGGAACAGGAACACAGGAATAAGACCGGCAATGTGAGCATTGCAAGAGCTGGTTTAAATAGCCAGCCCGGCACTGACAGGCGCGCCTGGGTCCTAGTGCCTGCCAGCACTGTCATTGGTCACAGGCGGCCCTGGGTCCTAGTGCCCGCCTGCCTCTATGTCTTGTCGGAATACTACGCATGTGCAGATTCATGCGTCGTGGCAATCTTCTCGTTCCCCGACATTGCCCCCCCCCCCTTATGGGCAGCCTCCGGATGCCCAACTGACTCCTCTTTTGTGGATGGTTCCGAAAAAAAAATTTGAATTAGCTTGGGAGCGTGGACATTTCGGGCTGGTTCCCACAAATTTTATTCTGGCCCATAACCTTTCCATTTTATAAGGTACTGTGTCTGACCCCCTCTCTTCCTGCAGTTTAGAATTGCTTCTACTTCAAATTCCTCCTCTCCCTGAACGTCTAGGGCCACTGGTGGCTTTGATCTACGGTCCAGGAAAGGATCTGGAGTGGCAGGTTTTAGCAGGGATACATGAAACACTGGATGTATTTTGAAAGACTCGGGCAGAGCTAATTCAAAAGCCACTTCATTAATTTGATGCTTCACCTGAAATGGGCCCACGAACTTGGGTGCCAATTTCCTCGATGGGCATGCCATCTTTAGGTTGGTAGTTGCTAACCAAACTTGATCCCCTGGGTGCACGACCAATTCCCCCCTTCTTCTTTTATCAAAGGCCCTTTTGCTATCTTCCTGAGCCTTTGCCATTGCCTCCTGTAACAGTTTGTTGTTGGACGCAAAGAAATTTAAGGACTCTTGAGCTGCAGGAACCGAGGTTTTCTGGGATCAGGTCTGGCAAGAAGGTGGGGTGGAAACCATAATTGGCAAAGAACGGGGACTGCCTGGTGGCAGAGTGATTTGCATTGTTGTAGGCAAACTCCGCCAGGGGCAAGAGTGGCAACCAGTCGTCCTGTAGGAATGAGGTGTAGCATCTGAGATATTGTTCCAGCGTTTGATTGGTCCGCTCAGTCTGCCCATTCGTTTGCAGGTGATAGGCTGAGGAAAAGGACAATTTCACTTCCAGACTTTCGCATAGCTCTTTC